AAAAATAAAATTTCTACACCCTGTATCTCCAAAATTAAGCATTTTAGGACATACATTTATACTAATTTTTATCTGCAAAATATACTGCCGATGTTTCCAGAATACAGTTCGGAACACCCTGTACATTTTTTTAACGAAATACAGGTGAGAAACCTGATGACAGTTTACTACAATTTATCTTTAATACAAAAAAGAACATTATAATGATCATGTGTTATGATCAAGTGAGATTTGTGTAAAATAAATTCTCATGTTATTTGCTCATAAGAATCATTTACGTCATTATACAAAGCATGTTTTGATCATAAAACGTTTCGATCATATTGTACGATACAACTGAGAAAAAAACGGCGTAAGAGATGGCTTGGGAAATAAAGATCGCTGTCATTATGTAGCGAATGATCATAAACAAACGGCGTCAGCGGTGGCTATGAAATGAAGATCGCTGTCATTCTATATGTAAAATTATATGAGGAATGCCACTGATTGTCATTTCCAAGCTAACTGGACGCCGTTTTTTTTTTCGATCATACCGTATAAAAATTATATGGGAAATGTCATTGATCGTCATTTACAAACTACCTAAACGCCGTTTTTTTTATCATATGGTATGTAATTTTCCAAGTTTGTAGTTTATTTGAGTTAGCGACAATACTCTCTGAGAATTATATCATAATAAGGACAAAGATATTAGAAAGATATGGCAAAATACATAGTCTAAGAGCTAGCAACGTTTTCGAGAAAGTATTTTAAGACATCTGGCTCTTTGATATACAGGCCCGGCAATGGATCTCTAGGCATAGGAATTACATGCATTGGAATGAAACGCCTATAAAAAGTCTATGCTTAAACAGAGATGGACAACAACTTTCCCGTTTCCACTTCCACTACGACTGTCTACTTAGACAAACTCCAATAAGATAACAAATTTTGGAAATCCCGCCACCTCCCATCCACTCATGATACCCATCTCCATGCCCTTTATTTATCGCCATTATTTTATTTCCCTTCCCGCGCCTCCGCACCTCGCTATTCCGACTACCGTCAGTTCATCACAGAGTTGCCAGGTCTACCGGTTTCGTCTGTAAGCTACCGATCTACCGATTTAAAGAAAAATCTAACGATATATTCAACTGCGTCTTTAGTTTTTACAATAGAAGCACTTTTAAAAAGCTGACTTATATGACTAAAAATTAAGCGACTGCCGCGTTGGAATCTGTATAATCTGACTTTATTATTGATTCATTAAATTTTATTTAGTAATAACACACATACAGGTCATCGTTCTGTCTAGTTGCAGAGTTACAGAGATATTCCTAAAAATCCTTATTACTCCTTATTAGGCGCGGTATTGGCGACATGCCCGAAGAAGTTGATATCTTTTGAAAAGATTTTATTTCATTCATCTACTAAAGTTGAACCCATATTTTCCCCTAAAAAATGTAAACAAAAAACAAAATTTAAGTTAAGAAACAACCTAAATTCGGACAAATATTTTAGTGATTTTCCCGTCAAAAAATATATTAATATGAAAAAAGAATTGAGAGTTGCTACAGCTTTCCAATTGAAATGAAATTAATTTTAGATATCACTGATCAAAATTTGTACATAGGTAAAAAGTGACTGCTACACTAATTTGTGACTGCTATCCCTACTTATTATAGTTTTATATGTTTTTATTAATATATTAATATTATTTAATTCAATATTTTTTTTAATATCAAATAATATACCTAGCTATTTTTAATTCTTGTTATATTTATTATATTTGTATTTTATTTGAGTGATCTATTATTACGATTGGAATGCTAATTTTGGAGTTAAATATTATATTTTATTTCGTTTCTGTACTAATTTTTGTTGAAGATCTACCGAGAATTTTGTTCTCGTATGGAATTATAATCTAACAAACCCGGCAACCCTGTTCGGCTACTCCTTATAAAGTTTTTTTCGGCCTAATTCCTTTGTCACAGCCGCGGCTTTGTCAAGCGCCGCCGCCGACCGACTATGTCGGGGCGACTGCTAGGAAGATCGTACAGTATTGCCATTTCATAGAATTGCACTTGCTATTTTAGAAATGATTTCAAAGTTTTGCATGTTACTTTTCGTTTTAGAATGAAGTTATGTGCCTAGAGAAAACATTCTTAAAATTGTTTCGTACTTTATTTAATATTTCATTAAGTAGGCAAGATAATGGGATTAGAAGATTTAGGATTTTGACAAGCCAACATAATTTCGATTTCATTGAATGGCAACACTGTCCGTCCTGTTTCTATTTTTTCGATTCTGTTCTATTAGTAGGCGGTAGCCCCCACACAAGCGTCTTAAAGACCCGCCCGGCGCCCCCTCTCGCAGGGGCTCTCTCGTCGTATCACTTCTATGATCACTTCCCCTATACGATGGTAGGGAAAAGACACTTTATCGGTCTTTGTTGCACTGCAGTGTATTTTGCAGCCTTACCATCTTTTTTATCGCATTGAAAACCTCCTATTGCTAATATTCCTTTGCCAGCAGTGTATCTTTTACTATGCTCTCTGGAACAGCATGCAGCGCGTCTGGCTGCCGATACCCGTTGCGTTTACTACTGCGCATCGGAAAAAGATCCTATATATTTTATTAATTTAGTCCTATCAATTCTAGTATTGAATATAGTATAGTAAAGTATTAAATAATTCTGGTAATTAAAAAAAAAACAAATATTTAATTTCAGAATATAAACGAAAATAAAAATAAAAGTCTTTTACCTGAACCGGATTTGAACTCTGAATCTTCGGTTCGTGGTCGGAAACTCTACGCAGTACGCTATGGAGACATGTTCGATTTATATTCAATACTAGAATTTAAAGGACTAATAAAAATATAGGATCTTTTTTCAATGCGCAGTAGGGAACGCAACGTTTACCGGCAGCCAGACGGGCCGCATGCTGTTCCAGAGAGCATAGTAAAAGATGTATCAAAGAGCCAGACGTCTTAAAATACTTGTTTTTCCGACGTTGCTAGCTCTCTTACTAACAGTACATCCACAATTCCGCAATTAATGCAGACAATATTTTGACATTTGCGTTTGTCTAACTTAGAGCTATGGCACCACAAAATAGAACTGATTGATTTATGAAGTTTGACAATCTGTACAGGGTGAGTCAACGAAAGAGTAAAGTTCATTATCTCATTTGTTTCGAGGTTTACAAAAAAAACTAAATATAAAAGTTATAGGGAAGGTTAAGATATACATTTTAAAATTATTCAAGAGTATACAAGGTGCTTCAAAAAAATGTGGCGAATATAACATATGCTTTTTTAAATGCAATACCCTATTTTTTATTTTATTTTTAGATAGTGCGTAAAATTTCATAATTTTTTTATATATAATGTTATATACCTAAAATGAATACTTTTTGTAATATTTCAATTTTTTTAAACAAATGTTAAATTGCAGTGTGGTAAAAAAATGTCAGTCGTGCCATTGTTTCTGAAGTTGGAGGACCAAAATTTGGTAGGAGAGTTTTATAGAGATGAAAAAAAGATATATGTAAAGATATTTTAGTTAAATGATACAGGGTGTTCAAAATATATTTATGAATTTCAACTACTTAAAATTAAAAAAATTCAAATTGTTTAAATGGGACACCCAATATACTATTATTTTTTCTGATAGATTTTACAAAACTCTTCAATTTTTATTAAGTATGTCATATACCTATTTTTAATAGTTCGCGATTTATTCCAATTTTTTCTATTTTTACCCATATTTTTAATACAATTACCCTATAAAATCATAGTTACCATGACAAAACAAACTATTTATTACTTATCTTTAACAAGTACCTTAATAATTAGTTATAATTGGTGGTATTTGTTAAAATTAATTAATTTACTCAAATAAATTAAAATCGCAGTCGTGAATTTCTTGGTGTATTTCTACATTATGAAAGATGACACTTGTATTTTCCGTCGGGGCGAATAGCCACAGATTAGGGTAATACTAGACTCAATTGTTGAAGACTATACTGATATAGGAATTTTCTTTGACATACAGTAAAAATTTTTTCTCGCAGTAATGCTGGTTTATAATTCATTTGTCATTTGATAAAGCCAATATTACTACTACCGCGAAACCGTCCCATTACACACTGAAGATGTTTTTTTAGATAATCTACATATATTCTTATACTACTTAGCAAAGTACTATATAATATATAGTAGTGAACCAAAAATATATTTTTCTTGGCTTTTTCGTGTGTATCAGTCACATTGACTAATTCATTTCAGGAAAATCTGTAACTATTATCTCTACTATTTATACCTATTACAACAAATTAAACTAAAATTTAAATTTTGTTCCTAACTTGCTTAACAGACAATAAATTTTGATAATTATTACTTTTCGTCATGGTAACTATGATGTTATAGCGTAATTGTATTAAAAATATGGGTAAAAATAGAAAAAATTGCAATAAATCGGAAACTATTAAAAATAGGTATAAGACATACTTAATAAAAATTGAAGAGCTTTGTAAAATCTATCAGAAAAAATAATAATATATAGGGTGTACCATTTAAAAAATTTGAAATTTCTTAATTTTAAGTAGTTGTAATTCATAAATATATTTTGAACACCCTGTAGTATCTAACTAAAATATCTTTAGATATGTCTTTTTCTATATCTCTATTAAATTCTCCTACCAAATTTTAGTTGTCCAACTTCAGAAACAATGCCATCACTGACAATTTTTTATCACACTGCAATCTAACATTTGTTTAAACAAATTTAAATATTACAAAAACTATTAATTTTAGGTATATCACATTATATATAAAAAAGTTATGGAATTTTACGCAGAATCTAAAAATAAAATAAAAAACAAGGTGTTGCATTTAAAAAAACATATGTTATATTCGCCACACTTTTTTGAAGCATCCTGTATACTCTATAATAATTTTAAGATGTGTATCTTAACCGTCCCTATAACTTTTATATTTATTATTTTTTTGTAAACCTCGAAACAAATGAGATAATGGTCTTTACACTATCGTTGACTCACCCTGTACAGTGTACAGATTGTCACACATATTTTGATGTAATAATTCAGGATTCCCCCGTATTATTTAAAATAAATGAATCTTAACGGCAACTGTACTCATAATTTTCTGATATGAACATATTCAATCTTAAATACTGAATTCAACTATGCTATGTACCATAATGGCTTGTAATATTTATGAGAAAAGTATGTTTTAAGTTAATTAACATTAATTTATATTTTTTTTTAAATACAGTATCTCAATTGACAATATATAACGTTTTCGAAATGTCAAATGCCACAAAATGGCGTCTTCTTGACGCAAAAAGCGAACAAGCAGTAGCGTTATTAGTGCAATAACACTTTAAAGACACTTTAACTGTCAAAATTGTCAAAATAACGCCGTTCAGTGTACATCGCTGCCATATCTCTCCATTATTGCCGTACAGTGTTAAAGATGTATCCTATCAAAAAATACCGGGTTTAATGGAAGCTTACCTCTATAGCTTCATATAAACATTATATACAATAATTATCTTCACTTTATTTTAGTAGTTTGCATGTTTGGAACCTCTCATTAAAGGCACAAGTAAGGCGGGTGGTCCGGCTTGTCTTAGGAAAGCGTGAGACAACAATTCCTGAGCTGTGGCTCTCTGACTGGGATCCCTGACCAACATCCTATCCAAAAACGACTGTAACCTAGGCGAAACTCTGTGAGCGTTCTTCAGTTTCGGCGGTGGCATTTCCCTAATCCGCCTCATGGCTTGCAAAGGTGGTTCATTGAAAAACGGCGGTTCTCCATCGACCATCTCAATAACCATTATACCCAACGACCAAATATCGACTTCGGGTCCGTACGGCAATCTAGAAATAACCTCTGGAGACATCCAGTAAGGTGTACCAACTAGGGATTTTCTTTTTGGAAGTTCCTGGGAGACTTGGGCGCAAAATCCGAAATCGGATAGCTTAACTCTGCCATCTAGAGCTAGGAGTATTGAATCAGACTTGATATCTCTGTGAATAACACCTTGGGAATGTAAGTAAGCCAGAGCTTTCAAGCACTGCTTACAGACAGTTGCTATTTGTTCCTCGTCCATTCTGGAATGAGTTACAATGTCGGTTAAGGCACCGCCTTCTAAGAACTCCATTACGACCCAAAGTTCGTCGTTTACTAGGTAACTGTCGAACATTTCTACGATATTCGGATGATGGTAGTCTCGCATTATGACGACTTCGTTGAAAAGCAGCTCTCTCCTTTGTTGTTTTCGCAGATCCATCTTTTTGACGGCTACTTGTCTACCAGTGTTTCTGTCTTGGGCTATGCAAACGGTACCGGTAGACCCCTCGCCGATTTTGACAAACCTTTCCAGGTTTTCGCGGGGGTCTTTGGAGGAGACCACCATTTGTAAAGCCGCTCGAAACTGAAAAATAAAAACAAAGTATTTAATAACTACCACTTTATAATGATGATTTATAATGCCTAATAACTGCGAAATTATTAGTTAGTGACGAGATTTTGAATAGTATTTTAAATTTAATGTCATAGACTTAAAATAAAATATAGACTACACATACATCTCAACGCGGTCAAATAATATTTTTTGTACACATGTTTACTTCTGGGTACAGTCGACCGAGCCTTCCTCATCCAGCCTATGTTGTCACGTCTTTAATATTATCAATATTTTTTTTCTTGTTATACACATATATTGAGTTATTAATACTACAGTTTAATAAAGTAGGTTTTAATATTCCATAGATGTATTAAATAGTCCTTATACTACTAAATTATAAGTCGGATACTGTTTAAAAAGGATAAGTTTTTTACAATATGACAACACCGATTAGAGGCGAGGGAGCCTATTCATTCATATATTACCTTGTATTACGCGTCGCACATGTGCGGTAAAGCTTTGTTGCCGCTATGTTCCCGGCTGTATTAACGCATTTTCTTAGCTTGTAGTCCTAAGTGTTTATTTTATTGACTTTTTCTGTTCAAGAACTATAAAATATGGTTCGCCAGTGCCAAATTTGCAAGAAATTTGACTTAAATAATCCATTTAAGTCTTGAAACGACTTTCGACCGGTAGGCAACTCTCAATTTACCCATTGAGAGTCAGTGGCGTTGTTGTAGAAAGGCGCTTATTTAGATAATATTTTAGTAAAATGTAAAATCTGAATTTTTTCTCTTATATTACATTATTTACTTACTTACATTGTAACAAAATCAAAATTATAACCCTGTTAATAATTAATAATGTTTTAATTAAAAATATATTCCGGTTTATTCTAAAATTATCTTCAGAATCTAAAATAACATACAAGAATTTTAAAATGATATTACATTATGAAACAATATTTTTTAATATACCGGGTCGTCTCAAAAGTGGCTCACTCCCTATAACTTTTTTATTTTTTCAGATAAAAAAACAGATTTGTATGTTAGTAGGTATAGATATGACATAAATTAGGATTTATTGACATATTTAGATATATTATTTATTTATTAAATTATTGAGATATCAATTGTTTTTGGTCTCTTCCTATTTCACCGAAATGATTACATCTTTGATTTTTAAAGGCACTCTCGGTATATTGCTACTTTATTCGATAAAAAATGACACTCTGAATAGAATGACATATCATATGTCAACTTTTGACATTGTCGCTTAAAAACAAATCGTATTTTAAATTTCAATCCAGGGTGCCCCATGGTGTTGTTAAAAACACTAAGATTTAATCAAGGAGCCTTAGAAAAATAGTTTTGATCGTCTAATAGGTTTCGTGTCTTGTCTAGGCTGGTTAAAAGATGTACAAATGGTATTTTTAATTATACATATGTCAATTTTTTTCAAATGGAACAAGGGTGACTCATTAGCATATTTGGAAAAAGCATTTTTTTATAAATATATTGATACCACACACTTGGTATTTCGAGTCAAATTGTCGTTATGAACCGCGTGTTACAATTACAATTAAATCATATGCGAAAATGTCAAAAGTTGACATATGATATGTCATTCTATTCAGAGCGTCATTTTCTATCGAATAAAGTAGAAATATACCGCGGGTGCCGTTTAAAAATTAAAAGTTATAGTCATTTCCGGTGAAACAGGAAGTGACAAAAACATTGAAACGTCAATCAATTCTAATTTATGTCATATACTAACATACTAAATCTTGTTTTTTTATTTGAAAATTATGGGGATGAGCCACTTTGGGACGCACCCGGTATAATAAAGATAGTACCGGGTTAAATAAATGTAGTTTTCATTTTATCCACTTCCTATCACCTTCCTTGCTTTAATGGAACAGATTTATGTTTTCTCTAATTTACATAATAAGACATCACTTAACCAGAAAAAAAATTACAACAATCATAATTTCGGGAATTCCCCCCCATACAGGGCGCCACCCTGTATGTAGCTGTGGTAAATCTCTACTCTTTAGTTGTAGTTTGTATTTTACAGTACACACAAATTGTACAATTCGAATTAGAGCTTGCAACTGGCCCTTCGCGGCCCTCTTATGGGTGTCCATCAAACATGTTTGATCACCGGTAGTTACATCACTGCTTTACATGTTTACAAATGAAATTTAAACAATAAATACACTTTTGTAGAAAAATTCAGTGTTTTCTTTTAATTTCATTAAACACAATGATATAATTGATAAAAATTGGAGGTAAATGTTTAATCTAACTTAAGCTGACAGATAAAATGTTATGTGTAGATGGGGCTTTAGAAAAATAAAATATATCTGATCCAATCTTTTTTATATATTAATAAAAAGTGTATTAAACATACCTGTTCATGTGTTAATGTCCTCTGTTCATGATGTTTCGATGAAGAACTACTTTGACTACTACTTCCTGGTTGGGCATGAACTGCTATATTCCCATTCTTGATATTTTGATTTTGATCAGGTCTTACATGTGGCAATATATTAGAATGTGGACCTTGATTTAGATGTGGATGTAATGGGGGATGCGGTCCTATACTAGGATGATGAACTGATGGTACTGTGGAAGCTACTGATCCGACCGGCGATATCTGTGGATGCTCTGGAACTCTTGATGGATATCCCATAGCGTTTTGTGGCATAAATCTTTCAATCGGCACGTTTCCATTGATATTTTGTTGATTAACATAAACGTTTTGTATTTCTTGGTTGTTTGAAGATATGTCTGTAGGAGAATTCTCACGTACCTGAGGTTTACTTATACTTGGATCCCTTCTCATTGAAGGATATTGCATAATTTGTTCTTCTGGAACTGATGGTGGCACATTAGCATTACTTCGATGATCCCTTCGAAATCTTGGAGGACTGGATGATCGCAATGAATTTGACCTTGCTACATTGGATGTTTTAGGAAGCACAATTCCATTTGCGGGTGTTTTGTTATTTTGGTGTATACTCAGTCTATTTTCAGATTTATTATCGCCACGTACAATAGTCTTAAGATCCAATATTTCTGTTGGTGTGATTTCCGAAGGATCGACGAGAGGTAACGGTCTATTAGTTGACTTTAATATTTGATTATTTCCAACAATTGAGGCCCACTGAAGGGGAAGACCTACATATTTGCCTTCCCTTTTGTCAAAACCTGTGTGCACCCTATGCTCGAAATTAATGGGTGGTGATATCTGGGGCTTCTTTTTCTTCTTGGAAAACATCGTAACAACTTTAATTACACTTGTAAAAACGGTAACCCGTTAGAATTTACGTAGATGAATGTCAACATAAATTTTAGATCATAACCTTTCTAGTCATTTAATTGCCCATTATCCTTAAATATCTTCCTTAACTAGACTGATTCATAACTTGTCAAAGTATGTAAAATATATATAGTAAACACTAAAAACTCAGAAATAGTAAAGGAAAATAAAAGAAAAAACAAACAAAACTTTAAAGGCGAGGTCACAACGAGGTCACTGACAAAAACGTCAAGTCAAAAGTCAAAAACCTGTCAAAAACTAAAGCGACGAAGCGACCTCTGGTTTCCAGTTCTGAAATTTGTGGGTATCTGCATAATAGCACACTTAACTAACGCTAGATGGACATACTAAAAATCTTAGTCTGTATTTTTGATTAAAAACAAACTGGTTAAAATATATTATAGTCAGAACTGGAAAAAATAGTTAATTTGTTTTGATTCTCCTTTATCATTTTCAATATTAAAATGATTAAATCTTGATTAAATCTACTCCTCAGATTTTATGCATTGTGGGTTGCATGAGTATGCAAAACTAAGGATAATATTAATTTCATTGGTGGAATTTCATAAAATCTAGCATAGCCTTTAGAAATTAATTAATTTTTAGATATGTTATAAAATATCCAAGAACTTAATTTTTTCTTTATAGAATAACGCTCAATAATAAATGCAAATAACAATCTATATGATTACAGTCAAAATTAAAATTGCTTAAGAATAATGAAGTGAACGTAATGAGATAGTAGCTTTTGTATAAAATATGGAACGGAAAAAATCGATTAAAACATAAAAGGGATATCTTAAAGTGAATACAATTATCGTACATAATTTGCGAGAACCAGAAAATTAATTTCGGGAACTAATTTGTTATCTACATTGTTCGAAAAAATAATTCTGAGACCAGAGAAATTTCACTTTTTAATGTGTCACCTCGATTATTAAAATTAACTTCCGTTCTCTTAAATTCGTCATAGGTATGTTATGAAAAATATGTCATTAATTTCATTAAATAATAATATCCCAATAAAAACAAAAAATGTAAAAAATAGCAAGTCTCGCAACGCTGTTCTTCCACTACAGAAATTTGTAAGATTTCATGTAAAACAAAGTCAGTTAATTTCCACAAAACATCCCCGTTAACTAGTAAAAAAAAAGAAAATAAAAAAAGAATCATTTTATGCAGTTAACAAGAAATTAAGGAAGCATTTTGAGCATTTGATTTTATCTAGCCATTGGCGTAACTACAGTGGTGTCCGGGGGAGCTCCCCCCCGCTACTGCTGGGCACACCCCAGAGAAATTTTGAATTATGACTCTTGGCTGCGTATTAATTTATATTTGCTTGTGATGTAGTAAAAATGACGTTTTTTATAGTTTTGTTTAGTTAATATTATTTTGTTGTGTTCAAAAAATGTGTTAATTTTTATTGTTTTAAAAAATTTGTAGGTATTTAAGTAATCTACGGGAATACGGTTTGATAACCAAGTCTATGAAATTTATTGACAGAGAAATTCATGTAAACGTTTTATTCAAAACATGTATTTTTTAAATTATTCTTCAGTTTTTAAAAAAAAAGCCCCCCCCCCCCTTGAGAGAACCCCAGGCCCCCCCCCCACAGGGTGAATTGCTAGTTACCCTAATGCATCTAGCTAATTTTTGTCACATAAATATAGGTTTATGTCTAGTCTTAATTCTGTAATAATTAAAATATGTTTTAAACGTATTTCTTTTTTATTACCGTTGAGTATTTTACTCTACAGTACGTCTGTCCATTCTATAGCTACGGGGTATCCGTGAGAGGAGAGACGATATTCTCTCGATGTTTTTCGTAAAAAATTAGACGATGCGTCCCATCAATAAAAATTCGACAAATTTGCAAGTAGCCAATAAAATGAGTGGGCGGCGCGATTTGCGGTGACGTACTCGTCAAGTCGACATATAAAATATATATTGCTGTTTATTTAAATATGTTTTTGTCCGCATTCCTTTCATAGACACAGATCCAGCAAACGTACTGTGCATGCTTCAATTTTTGTTTTAAATTAACAAAAGGTACATCAAAGCCAACTAGATGTTTTTTTCAAATAATCAAGATCTATTGACGCAAAATCATGACGCAAAAATTTAAATATCTAGGAAAGTCTTTGTCTGAGGGGTAGGCAACCTTAATAATATTTTGAAGATATATAAATTCTCCGTTAAACACCGGAATAATATACTGGGTGTTCCATTTAAAATAAATGAGTAACTTGCTTTTAAAAGTGATCAATGTTCCATATTAATGTTATCTCACCCTGTATAAGTTTTCGGGTTAAATTTTAATTTGGTTTAGCATACAATGATTATTTTGTAATTATATATCAATCTATACAGAGTAAATTAAAATTTAGCTAGCTATGTTATTGAATTTTAAAATTTACTCTTCATTTTCACAAAATGTGAAATATATATGTCAAAATCCATACATTTTAGGCATATGCTTCTTAAATAAAACTCAAATTTAATTTTTCCTAGAGTCCGAAAATCAATTAATATATAGGGTGTTTTATTACAAAAAAACACAACTTTAATGTGAAACTTTTTTTGCGGACACCCTGTTAAAATTATCAAAAAAAAATGTTTTGCTTCAATTTTCTGAATCACTGGATCTATTTTGGGTTTTCTTTCTTGTAAATTTAATCTGCTACCTATGTTGCCATATTATAAAAAAATTATGTTGTTTAACTAAAAACTAAAAAAAATCAAAAAATTAAAAAAAAATCTAAATTTTCATTTTTTTTGCGATAAAATCATTGGTTGATAACTAAAGGTACCTATTGTTGCGGACTCAGCCTAACCTATGTATGTTGACATTTTTCTGGTTTTGCATCGTTACCTCTTCTGTTTTAAATTCGCAATAGATGATGCAGTTTTTCTTAAATTGCTTAAAATCGACTTGTCCAAAATTGTTCAAATTTGGCATGTGTATTCAGGATAGATAAACCTTAACAAGTAACCAAACCTGTGAACTGGCTAGACGAATTACCTTGGGATGGGCGGCTTACGGAAATATGAGGGACATCTTTAGAGCAAATATGGAGCAAATATCCCAATACACCTGAAAAGAAAGGCATTTAACCAATGTATCCTCCCGGTTTTGACTTATGGCGCAGAAACACTCACTCTAACAAAAGCAACCGCAGAAAAATTGAGAGTGACACAGAGGTGGATGGAGAGATCTATGAGTGGCCTGACTTTGAGAGATCGAGTAAGAAATGAAGAGATACGCCGACGTACGGGAGTGGATGACATTATCCAGCGAATCACAAAACAAAAGTGGAGATGGGCTGGACACATTGCTAGAATGGCAGACGGGAGATGGACCAAAAGATAGAGTGGAGACCAAGAGCCGACAAGCGTAGCCAAGGCAGACCTTCCACCCGATGGACCGACGACCTGAAACGAATAACAACTAACTGGATTGCAACAACTAAAAACCGCGAGAACTGGAGACGTTTGGAGGAGGCCTATGTTCAACTATGGACGTGAAAGTGGGCTGCGTGATGATGATGATGATGATGTAAAATTAATAGGGGAGTCAATATTTGGAATGTTGAAATAATCTAGCTAGGAAAGGAGCGAACACTCCACTAACTGGACCAGAACCGTTCTGCTTTCCAAGTGGTAACCAACTCAAGGTGGAACTCAAGAACTTGGAAGATTCCATCCGCAACCTGGAATGGAAATCTTGCAATGGTCTAAAACACTCGAAGAAGTTTCTGAGGGCTTATGATCAAGAAAAATCACAGATCTTCCTGGGTCTGAGTAAGAACAATCTTCGGATTGTCACGGGGTTTTTAACAGGACACTGTCTCCTCAATGAACACCTCAGTAGATTGAAACTGAGAAGAAACGGCGAATGCAGATTCTGTGGGGAAGATGGGGAAACACCAGTACACCTCATCAGTGAGTGCGCCGAGACGACAACCATTCATGCCATGAATTTTGGTACGACTGATATTGGATACTGGCCCAGATACTGGCTTTTGTCAAAGACCTTAGACTGTATGATGAGTTATGATTCAAGAAAGGGGGACACAATGGATCTGTAAGGTCGAAGTGATTAACCCCAGTAGAGGTAGATGGCCGATTCACCATCAGGAGCAGGAGCAGAGCGCACTGCGCATGTGCGTAAATCAGCTAGGAACATGTAAAATAGGCTAATAAACAGGTTTGAACCGCTTTGAACAGCTTTTGATCAGCTTTGAACCGCTTTTTAGCTTAAAACAACAGACCTGTTCATTTTTTGTTCATACCTGTTTATTTCTGTTTTAAAGCTGTTCAAAGCGGTTCAAACCTGTTTATTCCTGTTTATTAGCCTATTTTACATGTTCCTAGCTGATTTACGCGCATGCGTAGTGCGCTCTGCTCCTGCTCCTGATGGTGAATCGGCCATCTACCTCTACTAACCCCCCTCCCACTCATTCTAAATTCTAAAAAAAAAATATTTGGATAGTTCAATATATGCAAGGTATTTCCTATATGTTTCCAACGACGCCGACGATGCCCACCACCCGGTATAGTTTTTCTTAAATATTTTTTAAGATAGTTTTAGGTAGTTGATAGAAATTTATTTTTAACCCAATGTTGATTTTTGAATAAAATTCTATCTGTTTTTTAAATAAGAAAAGCCACAACTGTAATAAAGTGGTATAAAAACCAGATAGATTTTTAGGTCGAGATTTTCGTAATTGTTGTGGCGTTTAACAGCAAGAATAGAAATATTTGCATTTTCAAGCGAATAAAAAGTGTCACTTCAATGTCCACAAAGCGGAGCCGGATGTTTTGTCGCTCTTTAGAAACACTGATGAAACGAAAGGAAAACAGTTTGTTCTGCTCTTAATTTTCAAGGCTCCTGTGCAATTGAGGAAAATTTTTAATACTGTTTCACTGAAATGAAAACCGAAATTGCGTTTTCCGTTTCGTTGGGAAATTCTTAATTATTTATACTTGTTTAGATACGGTTCCTGTTTATTACTACATTGATGTAAGTAGTTCGATATACAGTTATGAGTCTAAGTAGACGTGTTTTATTATACAGAGTGTCCCATTTTCGTGTGGTTTATTGGGTTTCTCGTTTATGAGTAAAAATACAGGGTCAGGCAATAATGCGTCGAGCATCTGTAGCTCCTAGAATAACAAACTTAGGAATTTTGTTTTAGTGCGAACC